CAAGATGAATGAATCTGTTAGATGGAGACTGTGAGTTTCTAAAGCATTAATGTTCAGAAGGAGCTGGAAAATATCCTGAACTGTGTCCAAGACAGGTCACCAAAAATCCAAGGTGGTCTGTTACCGTTCTCAACTCCTGGACCACATTAACTACTTCCTCTTTTAGTCCCCTCACTTCAGAATGAGAATGTCCATCTTTGACAGTCCATGAGAAGAAGGCCCAAGAAGGAAAGAGCCGTTGGGAAGGACCCCAGTGGGGAAGGAGTGTCCAGTGGGTGGGGAGAAAGCAAAAGGGGACAGATGTCCAGAAGAGGGGCATCCAACAAAGGGGGTCGGAACCTGGGAAGTGGAAGGTCCAACACCCGCTGGCCAATCAATGGGTGAAGGAGGTCCAGCTGTTTCAGATTTAATGGTATGATGGAATCCTAGCTCTTGACTGTTGGTAGAGGTGGGTGAGGTGTAAGAGAGTGAATATGATGAAGAAACTGTAAAGTTAAAATTCACTCCATTGTATGTTGACATTCAGTATTTCCAGGCAGCTGACTACTACAGAAATCCACATGAATCTCTCCACTTTGATCATGACCACTGTGCATTGGTGATAACCCCTGTTTGTTTATTTACAACAAATACAGTGTAATAACACTATAATAGTAAAACCGACCTCAAGGACAAATAGTGAAATTTTCTGCAGTTATGTTAATGCACTTTGCCAAGCTAACTTTTAGAAAGGAAGACATATATGCACACACTGTGCTCCCTTCTGATTATCCTGTTTCATTGTAAATTAAGGAAAAAGCATCTGATTTATTTACTATTTAATAAATCAAGATGTTCACCAGCAGTTCTTAGCCTATTAGATCTGAAGTATTTATTATCCACGGCTTTGGTCATCAGTTTTGTTACATTTGTAGTAACTGACTCTTCCAAATGTGGAGGGTGACTTTTTTTTTTTTTTTCACTGTACAAAATTTTATCCTCCTCAGAATTTCTAAGAAACTCAGCATATTCACTCATGCATAATACTGCAGTAACTCCCAATTTATTTAATATTAAAACGTAAAGAATTCCATAACAGCAACATGGAAAAAGGAAGACTGAAAGAGATTTACAGCAAACTACTTTTTAGATGTATATATATTTCCAATTGGTAGAAATGCATGTAAGACATGATACAGACATTGAGCTACCAAGATATCCAATTGGAAAAAGCAAGGTACAAGAAAGAACAAATAACTTGCATAAGATCTGACAGCAGACACAGAAATTTAACTCCCAGCTGTCATGCTAGGGCTCTATTTCTGTCATACACCATTCTTAGAGATGGGTTTTTCACTTTCTTAGGCTCTGGGATTTTTGAAGGATGATTAGTTACTTGGAAGTCTAATGGTAGAGAGAAGGTTTGGAAGAAATCTTTGCATTTATACCTGCCTATTTGATCTGCAGGAAGATCTCACACCTGTTTTAAAAAAAATAATCATGCAAATAGAGTAATATTTTAAGCATTTTAACATAGAAAAAGAATAGCATAAACTACAGAATCTTCCCTATTTCTTTTTCACAGCAATAAAAGGTTAATGTAACCTGTTCCACCCTACTGCAAGTTTTAATCTGTCACATTTTTAATGTCATTATATTTCTGTGTCACCCATTAATCTATGCCCCACTTTCTCTATCAAAATGGCTAGGTAACCTGTAGACACCTATGAAACTCTGAACTATTTTATTCCAACCTGTTTCAGCCATCATAGTCTTATTTTGATTAACTCCAGTTCCAAACTACCACTCTCTTTTCATTTCTGCTACTTTACCAATGTAGCTAAAAAAGGGTATTAAAAGCCTTCATGATAAAACAATCTTTCAAATCTATGTCATTTCTATTACTATGAAAATACATTACACTTCTCTATGCAGATGATCTAAGCTAGATCTATTTCAGGTCAGAAGACAGAAACTCTGTTCTGTCAGGTTAAAAACAGAGACAATGAAACTAAAATCAGTAATGCTATATCTTATTAACAACCCTATTTCTGATTTTGTTTCTCTTAGAAAAGTCAAAATTGCATCAGAGTGAAAAGAGAAGCTAGTTACCCATAATGATTATAGCTCTGCATATTGTCACCTGTGGGTACTGTGGAATGATTTACACTTCTGTTGCTGATGACCTTTGGAGACTGCCTGGAAAAGCACTGCCTGTTGGGAATAAATGAGCATCCCCTTCTTTACCTTTCATTTATGTTTAACCTCATATGTCACACAGATCTCCATGTGAGATGGAAGTAGGAGCAATGAACTCTCTGGCATAGAAAACAACTCCAAAGTTTTATTTCTATTATCTTTGTGATTGCAGGCATAAGGAATACAGGTTTTCACAAATATCATATTCTGGTAAGACCTGTGTCAAGAACATTGCAGAGACACATAGAAACATAGAACTATTAAGGTTGGAAAAGACCTTCAAGATCAAGTCCAACTGTCCATTCTACAACCCCTCACCACTCATCCACCTCCCAGAACACCACGTCTGCCTGGTTTTTAACTCCTCCAGGGATGGTGCCTCCACCACCTCCCTGAGCAGCCTGCTCCAAGGCCTCACCACTCTTTCTGTGAAGAAATTTTTCCTAATATCCAGTCTGAATCTCCCATGGCACAACTTGACCCTATTTCCTCTCTCCTGTCGCTGGTCACCAGGGAGGAGAGGCCAACACCCGCCTCACCACAACCTCCTTTCAGATAGTTGCAGAGAGCAATGAGGTCGCCCCTCAGCCTCTTCTTCTCCAGGCTGAACAGCCCCAGCTCCTTCAACCTCTCCTCATAAGACCTGTTCTCCAGACCCCTTATCAGCCTGGTTGCCCTTCTCTGCACCCTCTCTGCACCTCCATGTCCTACCTATGCCGTGCTGCCCAAAACTCCACCCAGTGCTTGAGGTGCAGCCTCACAAGGCTGAGCAGAGGGGCAGGATCACCTCCCTGTTCCTGCTGGTCACACTATTCCTGGTGCAGGCCAGGATGATGTTGGCCTTCTTGGCCACCTGGGCACCCTGCTGGCTCATGTTCATCTGGCTGTCAGTCAGCACCCCCAGGTCCCTCTGCTGAGCAGCTCTGCAGCCACTCCTCCCCAAGCCTGTAGCGCTGCCTGGGGTTGATGTGGCCCAAGTGGAGGACCCAGCATTTGGCCTTACTGAAACTCATATAATTGGCCTCAGCCTATCGATCAACCCCTCTGTAGAGCCTCCCTTAAGCAGATTGGCACATGCTGGTATAAAGATGATATAAAGCATCTAACAAACTAGCAGCCGAACAAATTTTCCAGGAGCTCCTACATATCCCTTCCCAGCAAGGCTAGATACCAAGGACAGGCATTGTGGTCACCACCTTACAGTGCCCCTGCAACAGCTGGAAAACCTCAGAAACTTATTGGACCCAAACTTAAACAGTCAGGGTCAAAAGGCTTATTTCTCGAGGTTTTCAGACTGGACAGTAGTGTTAACTGTCCCTCTTCAGGAAAGGAAGAACAGCTTAAGGACAAAAAATCAAATTTCCTCATAGTGTCTCAAACAGGGATCTGGTAAAATTTCACTAGGCCAGCAGTGTTGCTGAACAGGGTACTTAGGAAGGAATGTAAACTCCAGGAAGCAAAAATAAAATACACTGATTCAAGTTCTCTCCTTCATTCTGCCTTTCTCCTATTTTAGAGTTCTGTGGTTTATTCTGTGGTTTAAAGAGAGAGTTAAAGGCTGTTACAGTCCAGAATGACCAATGGCATAGACATAAAGTAAAGTTTCATTGTAAATCAACTCAAGCAATCTGAACAATAATGTTGTTCACTACAGATAAATATTACATAAAGAAGGCTGGTAAAACTGAACAAATCCAGTGTTTACAGAGCACAGTTCCTTGCAAGCAGAATAATTCAAGAGTTAAAAAGAAATTTAGGTAGTAGGGAATTACAGGGATTATCTGTGAAAGTGTCTGTCAGTAGGACTCAGGCTCAGCTGTCCATGCAGCACTGCTGCTCTTGGAAGCCCCCACAGCTCACTCAGCAGCACAAAAGGACTTCATTTCACCAGTGGGGCTATGTGGAGACCACTTCAGAGAGAACGACATGCATGTTCCCCCATGACCGCAGAAAATAATTTATTTTAAAAGCACAAAAACTAGCTGAGGTACAATCCTGTCTTTTATGAAAAATTTTAATAAAGTGTCATGGCAAAACAGGTAGCAGTCACAGAGCAAAATATTTTGCAGAAGGAGGAAGATTCTGCATGGCAGAACTGCTGGTTTTGTTCTTCTTTAAATTTGGTTATGCAAAGCCATGGCTAAGATTATTTTCTTTAAATTTACCAGTGAATCTTGCAAACCGCTAAAAATAAGGAAATATCAGGAACTCCAAGAGAAACAAAAAGTACTAAATAAATGATGAAGAGAAAACTAGTAAACATTGTGTGAGACGAACAGCTTGATGATGAGAACACTCACCAGAGAGCAGACAGAGGCAGATTAAAAGGAGACCAACTATAGCAAAAATGTGAAAATAAAAGGCAACTAAATTAAATATCAATTCCATGCTACTTTGCACACTTAGCAGGGGGAAAAAAAAGAAAAAAAAAAAAAAATCGTGGTAAAAAAAACTGTGTAAACAAGTGTTAATTCAGCCATAGTATTGAGATTTTTTGGTTTTTACTTGAAGCTATTGTCCTCAAAATCCTGCTGGGATGATCACAGCATACACAATATCAAGGACCTCACTTGTCACGCATCTTTTCAAACAATAGATAAGGCAGTCATTAGATGGAAAAATTATTATGTGGTTGTTTCTACCTTATCCTTTTCACTATTGGTTTTAACTATATTCACAAAACCAGAAAATACACATAACAGATAGAAAAATACGGATTCTCATGAAAAGCCATCATTTTATTGCAATAATGGAAAGGCAGGTGCAGAGATTTATTGTATATTTGAATATCCTTCAAAGTAAAATGGTCCCATGTTACTCACCTTGATCTCTTTCATGCCATGTCCGGCTCCCTGCAGCTGGTGAATTTGGAGAAGGATAGAAGTCTCCTGTCGGGCTTGGCTCCATATTTTCATCTATGGAGATCGTTTTGGGTCTTTTGCTGTTGAAGTAATGTGAGATTTGGCAGTGAGTATGATACGCAGTTAGTCGTCATATATAAACTGTTCAGATTTCAACAAATATTTCTATAGAAAGTAATTCAGGCACACAAAAGACAAAAAAAGTGGACATTAGAGCTTATATTAATTTACAGAGACAGTGCAATTTAATAATATGTAATGCAAGTATGTGGTTGCATTTTTCATCATTTGATATTTCAGAGGTGGCATGAATGAGTAATACATAAAAATCTACCAGAATTTGGCCAAACAACCAAGAACCAGCTCCTGTAACCTACCAACAAAAGGTTGTGTCGTGAGAGTGTTAAACACTACACAGAAACCATGAAAGCAAAACAATGCAATGGAAAAATATTACTAATAAAGTCAAGTTAAAGAAGGAACTTTTCTGAATGTGTTAATAAGGAAAAAATGTTGGTTACTGTATTTCACAAGGTCAAAATCCTAAGCTTTTCAAAGAGGTCCAACCTGAAACAAAGACTTGTCATTCTAGACTAATTTAATTAAAAACTACAAAAGGCCTATATTTCAAGTCTCACTTTACAAAATAAGGCAGCATTTCAATACAGAGGAGGGAAGTCAAGTTGCTTCATAACAATATATACTGAAGCTGTTGTAGTGACCGCCAAAGAAAACAAGGATGAAGATTTTAATGGTGTTGGTGGTTTTTATTTTGTTGTTGTTATTATTATTATTTGAAAATTTCTAAAATGTACTAGGTGAACTGCAAAACTGAAAACCCAATGGAATGAAATATGGGGATATGAGCAAAATCGCTCAGAACCACTAGGTGCTGGTGAAAGACCATCCCAGCCCCCCAGTAGTCCTGACAAAACCTGTCCCACTATACCGTCACTTCTGACTCACTGGGATGCAAAAATGTGAGGCAATGAAAGGTCCTATAGTGCTTATGATTTCATGGTTAGATGTCCTAATGCCTTTTCCACAGGAAACAACATCTGTCCCAACATATCTTTCAAGACAGAGGTCCGAGTAGGAGCCCACAAGGACAGCCTTATGCCTGCAACCACCTCATGGCATCAAGCTCTGCCAGTGGGTTTCCACCTGCTAGACCCTTCTGCAATTCAGTAGCAGCTTCGGGATGCATAGCTGTTCTTTTGGAAGATGATTTAGTGAGCACTTAAAACCTTGAGAGAAGGTATTATCATCTGCAACATCAACAGCAATGACAGATAATAATGGCACCTCTTCAAATTACAAGATTTTTAACATAAATATCTGCACATAGGCTATGGTAACATACAAAATCAGAGGAAATTCATAAAATAGTTTGGTCTTGACAGTATTTTTTAATTGTTTGTCCCACACTAATAAACCTGGTTTCATATTAGTAATTATTTCAAGTTTTTACCTGCTTGGTGGAGAGGACAATGACCTCTGTAGATTTACACCCGAATTCATATCATGGTAATATGGCTGGCTTGGAAGCTCTCCAATTGGGAAGTTCACTCCAGTTCCCTGGGTAATGGGTGCTGAAAAACACATCACCATAACAAGTCAAAGATAATCTCCTATCTTTCTAGCTATCTTCTCATTTTAATCACTGGGAAAAATATCAAGATGTTACTACATGCATCTAATTTTCTGTCTCTCGCAAAAGCCAAGCACAGACAAGTTCTATCAATGTTTATACTCTAAAAAAAGTGAATTATCTCCCTCAGACCTTAGAAATCCCTTAGCAACTATGCAGGCATAATATATTTGTTGCATAAGAGATAAACTGGAATCATCACTATGAAAAAGGTAACACAAACCTCAGCATAAAAGCAATACTTTTACGAATGTGGCAGGTGTCCTTATTATGGGGCCAGCTAACATTATTAAAGAAGTGAAATAACTGGGAAAAAAAAAAAAAAAGCTTTGGGACATACAAACTCCTTTTCCCTTAATGCTAACTCTTTTGTATTAATAATAGCCTTCTGCGCTGACAGCATGTTTTGTTGCCTCCTTTTTCTTTCACCCACTGCCATAGGTACTGCTCTGCATATGTACACGTACACTCCAAGACCCACACTCGGAGGTATCTTCACCTTCTTACAGTCTGTGTACTGTCTATCTCGGCATTTCAAGAATAAATTGTATGTTACATACTGTGGTGTATTTGCCTTTGTTCACTGTCTATACATTGTGCATTTTAACTGCCTTTGGCACTTAAAAGAATAATTGCATATTGTGTAAAGTATCTAAAGGTTTGTATTTTTCCTGACAGTTAAAGTACAACTCTGTTGCGGCTTGAGGTTAAACAAATGCATGGTAAGAAATCCCACAGAAACCACATGCTTTAAAGCTTATTATTAGAAGTATACCATATGTAACAGCTGCTGAAGGTACAAATTCATAACATAACTACAACATTGATTCTTTTTTAATTTGAATGCCCTATCCTTTAAAACATATTTAACCACCTGGCAACTAAAAGAAAACTGTGCTTCACACATCCTCAACCTCCCAAATCAGAAAAAGCAAGCACAAAAAAGAGTAAGTCTTAACACTCCAGGATGAAAATGCTCAGCATTTTGCTGAATGACTTAACATAATTTTATTGTTGAATATTAATTTCTGACCACAGCAAATGAAATTACATATGCCTCTTCAGCCTCAAGAGGTCAATTAAAATTCCTCAAACATCCTGACCTGCAGGATGCGCAAAATTTGGACAGACAGTTTTGGACACTTGTGTCTCACTGGTTTTGTCCTCATCTCATCAGAAAATAAGATATTCCTGGACCATTCAGTTGTTATAATGTTGATGTCACCACTAGGAACACTTCTAACTATAACTTTCAAGTATTTTTGTTCACTTCCTAATGGAGTCTTAAGATAAATATTTCAATAGTGTTGATACTAAAGAGAGAAAAGAACTGTTCAGAAAGCAGTGTCAAATGAAAGTATGCACTGATTTTATGCCTTACTGTTATAGCAAATTCTTAGATGTCACCAAAACAGAACTTATTTTATTCATGTTGGCTTTTCTTTCCACAATAAAAGTTTCACCTGTCATTTATATATTTCTATTTTTGGTATTAGAAATTAATTTACAGCCTGTGGAATAAACATGTAATAAATTTTAGTAATCCTTTCTATCCATGCTATGATTTTTCTCTTAAGAGCTACAAATTCAAAAATTAACTAAAAGAAAATCAGGAGATCCAGCAAATTCGAAATATGTGTAGGTCAACCTTAAAAAGCCGCAAGCCTAACAAATAGAAGGTTTTGTCACAAATGGTAATTTTATTGACATTTCAGTCTATTAAGCTGTGCAGAGGAACACATAACAAAGTGATTCCATCTTTAAATATTGAAGAAACAAAAGAAGAATTCTGTTCATATTTTTACAAACATAAGCAAGATTAATTGTAATACTGTGGTCAAATATAGCAAAATTGTGCATGGTTATAGGCATTTCCTATGAATCTTAAATCAGCAAGAGAAAAAAAAACTTAAAAAAAACCACACCCTATACTTAATTATAGGATGCTTTGGAAATTATTATATGCAAATAATAACTTACTTCTGGACACCCTCACAAGTTCTGACACGTTGAACACACCGGATTTTACAAAACTGTCCTCAAGGTACACTGAAAAAGATCACAATACCATTATTAGTATAATGAGAAGATTAATAAATTACTATAGACAAGTTTATACACCCTCTAACAACAGTATTAACAGAATCACAGAACTATAATATGCAGAAAAAAATCACAGTGAAAGCTGATCTAATGAGAGCTGAAATTCAGGAAAAGGTGTAAAAAACCTTGAGGAGTTGCAGAAAAGCAATTTTTAAATATTTTTATGACAACTAAATAGCAATAACTGACTTCCTAGCTAATCATCCAGAAAACACCTAAGAACTAGTTCCTTTTGTTAGTATCTTCAATTTTTAAGTCAATATTGAACTAAGAACCATATCAGCTGGATTAAGCATTTTCATCACAGAGCAGTCCTGTCCTTGCATACATTTCTGCTAAATAGATTTTTACTTAACTCTTACCCTGCTGATTTACACTACCATTATCAAACCATCACCTCTGAGGCTGATAAGGGTTTTACTATTATTTCCAGCAAAAGCAGGAACTGGGCAAAACAGCTGAGATATTCAGTGTCATTTTAATAGACATTATTAATTATGTATCTAGAAACCATACATTACTGTTCTAAGTTTACTTATTCTAAGATAAATGTATATTATATACTTTCTCTACTATGAAATTCAGGCACAACTTGGAAATGCTGCAGTGAAACAACAGCTGATAATCAAGATTTACCTCAGTAGTATAACTAGAAAACCTTATAAAAAGGAAGTTTTCTGAAGTCTCATCAATAACCACTGCATCATCTGACTTGACTAAATTTGAGATTACATGACATCACCCACCTTACAGGCAGGAACGTAATTTACCAAAAGAAATATTTTGTTCTACATTTGGTGCACACTGCTGCTCCAACAGTACAATTTTTTATTTCTTTCATGTGAGATGGTGCACTTACTGTGGTTTCTCTAGTCTCTTTTCTGAAGTAATACATCTTTTTTTCTTCTGGAAATACACTAACAATTTTCTGTTTCAAATATTCAAATGAGTAAAAGCACTCTTTATGTCTTTACTAATAAAACAAAGAAATAAAAAATGCACTAAGGAGCAAAAGCACTCTTAATGTCTTTACCAATAAACCAAAGAAAGAAATAAAACATGGACCTACTGGAATATTCACTGATTTGGAAGAAATCGGTTCAGTACTATTCTCTTCAGGTTTCTTTTGGCAAATACTTCTTTCATCTTCAAGAAAGGTAAGAAAACACTACCTCTATAATGAGAGAAGTGACTGTAAAAGCAGTACACTTCATTTCACAGATCTTGTTAAATCCTTGTTAGATTGGGATAAATGTCTACTTATTTTTTAAGGTTGAACAAGGAAGGCTGAGACAAAACTATCAGTTTCCAGTACTTACTGGGCCCACAGAGCCACCTTGCCCAGCACTTCTGATACTATTTGCTAGTGAAGGTATAAACAATGCACCTGACAACTCAAGCTGAAAGAATGTGAACACATCCAACTGAGAACATTTCCTGACATCTCTGTTCTGCTGTCATACTTATAAGAAAGTGCTTGTCCTCTCTAGCTGAAAAACACTCCCATGAGCAAGTGCAGTGGGTGTGCAGAGCCCTGTAGGCCTGTGGGGTCATCCTGGATGACATTATGTCAGTGCCATCATCCTCTTCTTCCAGTCAATGTCATTTCATATAATGGCCCTCCATGACTCTTCACACAACATCCCTGTATTTCCACTAGTAGCTCTGCACATCTCCTTCTGTTTTCTCTTCAATTCTTTTCACATTTCTCTCCCTCTCATTTTTAACAGTCTCTCTCCATATCCATTACTTTTTCCTCTCTTCTTGTCAGTTACCTGGATGTTGCAGGCCTCTTAGCAACATTATTCACCTCCAGTTTCTAAGTAAGAGCCTTTCTCTTTCACCTTCTGCATTCCCTTGCATACTTTCTCCCATGTTGGGTTTTTTTTGTGTGTGTGGATCAAAACACGGCATGGCTTGTCAAATATTTACTTCTCTATTTGACAGAACTTGGCATACTCATATAATAAAAATTGCAGACTTAATGTTTTATTTTCCTTTCTTCCTCAGTTTTCTTTTTTTTAACTTAAGAATGGACAAGCTGGATGAATGGTAATAATTCCTCTGACAATCCTTCTCTTTTCTGCCTGTTTCCTCCAGCAAGAACAGTATTAAATAGTATATGGAAGAGAGATTTCCAAAGAAAAATTTGGTGTCTTGATTTGCCTTGGTCTGTAAGTGAAGTGTGGCTTAAAGCCAGTGTACAAACACGCAGCTGTGGAGCTGGTAATGAAACAAGACTGAACTTCTCTTCTGCTTATTCAAATACCACTACTTGGAAGCACAACATCACTCATTCAATCTAAATCTAACTACCTAAATGTAGATTAGTCAAGTTATCATTACAGTGAGAACAAGCCCCAAGGTTCATATCAAAAAAAGAAAATGCACATGTAGGTTTTTCTATGTAAGAACACAGATGTATCCATGTGTATATGCAAGCACACACAGACACACAGACATATGAGTTTAATCTTCAGTCTTGTCCCATGAGTTCTTGGGTTTTCTTACTGAGAATACCTACACAGCATAAACACCAATATAGTGTGTCTATCTCCTTGTGATATGAAATGAGGGCATGGAAAAGAGTCTGCCACTGAGTGGTACCCCTATTTATCACCTTCTCACAGAAGGATGTTTTGTTGACTGATCACTGTCTTTCACCCAGGCTTCACCCCACCTTGGATGGTCCAAAAATAATGACTCCTATAGAGTAAATGCTGTGACTGGCATTAGGAAAGAAAGGCAAACTAGCTATTGTCCACTGTAATCATCTTATAAACAGCTCAATTTTTTTCTCTGTGTAATGTGACAAAATATTATTTTAAAAATGATGCAATGATAAATAGTCTATGTCACAAGCACTGAGCAACTTCAGCCTGAGTCTTACTTTCCAACAGGGAAGGTGGATTCCAGCAGTGCCTCTAAGTGCAGAAAAAAACCTCACAAGACGTTCAGTTCCAGAACCAGTAGACTTCAACAGTTTTAACCATTTAGGAAGACAACCCAGGATGGGCAGGCTATGGAGTTATTCTTGGCTCCCAGCTGTGCAATAGGAAAATTTTCTGTGCCATGAAACTGTTGCAATTTGTTGCAGAAATATGCACTCTACACACTAGAAAAGATAAACAGCAAGACGGTATGCAGCAGGACAACAATATGGGACATTTTGACCTTATGGTGTGAGATGTTGCCTTTTGCCTTCTGAAGCTGGTCTCCCTACTGCATAAGAGTTAACATTCATATTCACATTACTACACTGCATGCCAGAAAGAAAATATGATGTGATACCCTTTATAGTATAGGTCTTACTGTTTTTTTGATGAAGTGTTCCCTAATGCACTGCTTGCATTAACATGCTAAAGAACTTTAAAGTAGCATTCTTGGTGTGTCTATGTGATCTGTTCAGTAAAGAAACTAATACACTTTATAACAGCCTATTGTACTCCTCACAGAGGATTTACTGTGTCTTTTGATGGTCATAATAACATTTTGTTTTCTTTATTGTTCAAACCTAATACAAGCACTGAGCATAGTCATTTACTAGAACTCACCTTGCCTTAGAGATGACACTCTATGAAATGCATTTCACTAATAATTATTATTTTTTAAAATCTGAGTCTTACCAAAACCACCCTAGCGCAATTTTGCACAGTCAGTAACTTCCAAAACCCATAAAGAAGAATAGATTTTTTTCTCTATTTCCTTTTAGCTTTTTGTACGGTGTCAGTATAAAATGTCTCCTCCCCTAACCTTTTTTAGAGAAATCTCCTTCCTGAAAAACGTATTTTCCAAACAATACTACAATGACCAGACCAGTACCATCAAAGATCAAAGTAAAACAGGTTAAGCTGAGCAGCAGTTCTGATCAGGCTCCCCCATGCTGCCAATAACAGAAGAAACCTACATTAATACCTCCAACTGCTGTTACTCCTTATACATTTTCCACTCTATTCATATGCTATACCTTCAAGAGCTGAGTTACAAGTATAGCCTTTAACCATGCGAAGACTAAAAATGGGGGGAGAAAAGTTGTTTAACCCTACTGCAAAATATTTTCCATTTGCACTAACATACTGTAAAGTGCTTGTTCTCACATTACTTAAAATCTTACCACTGACAACTGGCTTCACAAATCTTTAAACAGCCTTTTAAAATTCTGATTTAATTGTACTTTTTTTAATAGAATGCTTGTTTACATTCTGCTGAATATTGACTACTGCCAATACAAAATTGCTTCCTGGTATCAAACATCTCGTTTTTTCACTGATACAGCCTCGATTTTGAGCAACAGGAGTAAGGATCCAATCAGCACAGCAAACAATCTGTACTCCTGTACTGTAATTTTATGTCTGGTTCTTTAAAGACAGGAAATATACAGCAGTAGACAGACTTACTAGCAGTGAGACAGGTTCAACATTTGCAGGTACTATGAGAAGAAAGGCGGGATGCTTCAGTCTGGCATACACAATACTTGCAGAGAGCTGGAGCTAGAGTTTAAGATATGCAGTGTAATGTTCTGGATACTTATACAGGTTTATTTGACTTCTGAAACTGCTATAACTAAACATTAAGTAATTTCATTGCACCAATTCTTTTGTTTGAGTCTTTTAAAACTGACTTTCTAAGGATCAGCTCTTCGTGCTCTTTGCAATATCCAGCTTCTATAGGAAGCTCTTTAACTTGAGCAGTATACCTAGTAGCATACAGCTACTAGTCAGAGTTAGAATTTGTAGTGAAAAATTAGTCTCACCCTGTTCATAGTAAGTTAACATACAGACTTGCAGTTTGTTTTCTCATTGCATGCATTATGAAGCCAGTATCTTAAAAAGCATACCACAAACAGGTTCCCACTGAACCTTAAAAGGCAAATAAGGGTGGATAACAAAAGCCAAGGGATGACAGAGAAGAGATCAGTGATGATGTCATTTGAAACAGCTGAACTA